CTGTGTCGTCAACTTACTACCGGAAGCCAAGAGCTCACTGGATTTCTGGTAGGCTCACCAGGTATTTTTCTGTACTTGAACAACATGGTGAAATGTGTTGCAGAGATGTACTGAAATTTTTGTTTTACTTTGCCCAGATGTGAAGAAGTGACAAAATACAGGGAATTTCTCAAAACTGGACCAGACAAAATCTAGAGCAGCTGTGCATGGCAACCAATCAGCATCCACCTTTCATTTTCAAAGCTTAACTGAACAAACTGAAGAGAGAGAAGCTGATTGGTTGCCATAGGCAACTGCTCCAGATTTTGTCTGCTCCAGTTTTCATAAATCCTCCCCATTCTGTGAAATTCATAAAGAATGTCGTAGATACTGGTTAGAAATCTGTTCTGCGTTTGTGCCACAAATGGTGTAACTTGCTACAGATCCATGTACAGTGCAGATGAATCTGTTGCAAACCTGACACAATCGTCGCACAATTTACTCCAAAAACGGAAGAGCGCTTATCTAACATCCACTTTCCTTAACAACAATATGGCGATATTTCTTTATGAAGTTATCACAACATTAGCAACAGATAGTAAAAGTGTTGCAGATAAGAACAAGGCCGGATTTACTCTGTCTGCTGCCCCAATGCCAGGTTCCTCAATGCGCCCTCCTGTATGCAGGCTGATACAAGTGATCTCGGCGACATCGCCGAGATCAATTGTACAATGCAAGAGGCGACTTCCCCGATGTACATTTAGCTCTGCTTGCCCAAAGCAGGGCTTAAAGGAGAACTATGAGGTGGGTGAAAATCACTCATCCTCATAGTTCTAGCCGACCTGTGACAATGAAACTGTCACACGTTGGCTCTATAGATCGGGAAGTGAGCGAACACATACCGTCGCTCGCTCACTTCTCGATCATCTCCCTGCAGAGAGCCGTGATTGTCAGTCACGGCTCCCTGCAGGTATCCCCCCCTCCCCGCTCCGATCCTCCAGCGCTGACTGGCGGAATGGATGGGGGAGGGGGCGGGCACAGCTGGCTCTGCCTCTAGATAGGCTGAGCCAGCTGTCAATCCCGCAGCTGTGTGGATCTCGACAGTAAAGTCGGGATCCATCCTGGCTGCCGCGTCTCAGTATACTGCAAGCTGTAGCTTGCGGTATACTGAGCCTAGGGTGACAGGAGGACGCTAGTTTGTGTCCTCCCGTTACCCTCAGGAAAACTATGGGGAAAAACACGGCTGGTAAAGCTCACATCTTTGCCCATGCATTGACATGTGCCCAACAAGCGAAGCAAGCTGATGTATGGCTGATTTCAGCCGATGTACGGCTGAAATTAGCCGTACCAGCCTGAAGTGAATAGCCGAACAGTGTTCGGCTCACTTCACTTCAGATCGGTCATTCACTCGGCTGCCCTCGGCAGCTTCGTGAATAGACCCCATAGTCAAAAGAGGCGTGACGCTTGCAGCTCAGATTGCTGCATGAACTTTGTCACATTGTGTGTGGGGCAGCCCATTGAAATGATGGGCTAACACTCTGCAAAATGTGCACAAACGTGCGGTCACATGTTCTGCATGTGTGAACAGGGACTTAACCTCCTTCACAGTAGGCATGTGCATTCGGATTCGGACGAACCTACAAATCAACGAAATTCAGTTGATTTGGTGGTTCATCCGAATCCGAAATAACAAATTTATTATATGCCCAAATATACTAAAACTATATTTGGGCATACATAAATTCGTTTGCAGAATGAGCGGTGGCCATACTGGTTGCCGGTGCGTTCTGCGCAGGCGCGCCGCCATCTTTGAGTATATCTTGGTATACACCCCATATGGTTGGGCACCGCCATCTTGGTGTATACCAAAATACACTCAAAGATGGAAGTGCGCAAGCGCAGAACGCGCCGGTGGCCGACATGGCCACCACTCGTTATGCATTTTCAGTGTGACGTTACACACTGAACGAGCCGTGGCCATATACTTTGCAGAAGACGTGTATCCAAACCTCTGTCATTGTCCTTAGTGGTGAGACAAGTTGTTTTACATGCTGGTTTGTGAGTGTGCCATGATGCCTTTCTACTGTACCAGTGGCCATATCACAGACGCGCCGCCATCTTTGAGTAAATCTTGGCATACACCAAGATGGCAGCACCCAAACATGCGATTGCCGCCATCTTGGTGTATACCAAGATACACTCAAAGATGGCGGCGCACAAGCACAGAAGGCGCCGGCGGCCGACATGGCCCTCACTCGTTCTGCATTCACAGTGTGCGGCTTCAGATTCGGAGTCTCGTTGCCTCCGAATCTGAAACAGCAGAAAAATTAATCTTCTTTGATGAAACGAATGGAAACTTTTTTTGTGTTCATTGTATAGTCAGAAAACGAATTTTTGGGCAGTGCACATGTCTACTTCACAGTCTCTTCTATTTGTCATGGACTTTATTGGAAAGGTCCATTTACTAAATTACCAGGTCTGTACACCTTTTGTGCCCAATATGAGGGGCTCCCTCCATCCCTTCGCCATAAGTTCCCAGTTTTATACACCTGCCGTGCCCATTTTGAGGGGTTCCCACCGTTCATGCTCTGAGTTCCTATGTTTGCACACCTGCTGTGCCCATTATGAAGGTTTCCCACCATTCCTGTGCTGAGTTATCGAGTCTGCACACCTGCTGTAACTATTATGAGGGGCTTCAACCATTTCTATTTATATTATGGAGAAAAGGAGGTGCTGGAACACACAAAGGTGAGCACAAACAGCCAGAGCTCTATGTGCAGGATCTGAGTGGGGAATTATAAGAAGCATACTGTATAAGGTTGATTAGGTATACCAGACTCCACTTATAACTATACTATAACTTTTGGATGGATTGGCATTTTAAGCCCTCCTATACATTAAAAAAGTGTCAGTAACATTCCTATAAATCCAGATTCTATAGGTCACATAAACAAATAAATATTCCATCCAGAGGGGGAATTCTGAGTATCCTGGTCCCCTGGCACTTACCTGTCAGATGTAAAATCCTGAAGTTATGAACAACATTTTTGAAATCCTGCAAGTATAGGAAATCGTAGGTATAAACTCAGTATATGAGTTCTGAATACAGTTACAACCTTTGTGGTGAAATTCTATAGAAACGCACACCCTGTTATAGGCATGCTCTTCCCATATGGGGTCCCACAATTATCACATCTCCCTCCTGGAATCAGCTCCTGTTATACAAGATCCTATAGGGGTAATTACCTTATGAGACTAGAGGTGTCATAAGTATAGATCGGTATGATCGCATCACCCTCTTGTACTCAACTCCTCATGGTTATATAAGATCCTAAGTAGAGACACCCCCCTCCCTCCATGACCTGACCCCCCTCCTTGACTGAGTCACCCCAATATATAGCTATATAGCATGTGGCTCCCTCCCTGCCTCTCTGCCATTGGCCAGCTGTGCAGAGTGCCGGCGCTGCCGGGAGCCCCTCTGTCTGCTACATAAAGCGTTGCTAAGTACTGGCTGTGAGTCTCTGAGGATGTGAGTGCCGGTTCTCTCCATCCCCATCACACTTCTGCAGCCACTTCCAGAGGATGTGTGCAACAGGCTCTCTCCCATACTGAAATCCTCCAGCAGTCAGCACATCCCCGGTACCCTCCTTCAGCCAGCATATCCCTTATACCCTCCTTCAGCCAGCACATCCCTGATGCCCTCTTGCACCCAACACCATCCCTGATGCCCTCCTGCAGCCAGCGCCATCCCTGATACCCTCCTGCAGACCGCACCATCTCTGAAACCCTCCTTCAGCGAGCACCATCCCTGATACCCTCTTGCTGCCAGCACCATCCCTGTTACCCTCATGCAGCCAGCACATTCCTGATCCCCTTCTTCAGCCAGCACCATCCCTGATGCCCTCCTGCAGCCAGCACCATCCCTGATGCCATGCAGAAGCCAGAAACATTCCTGATACCCTCCTGCAATCCTTCGCAGGCTCTGATGCCCTCCTGCACCCAGTTACATGGGCTACCAGCTCCGGTCTTTCCATCCTGCTCTGCTCCTGGAGTGTAACATTCGTCTCTGCTGCCTCTGTGTGCTCCAGTTCCGATTCTCTGCTGTGGTCTTTCTCATTTCTGATGCAAACTTGAGTCCACTTTGGAGGCTTTGAGTGCCAGTCTGTGTGCTTTCATCCAGTTGCAAAGCTTACACCATGTCGCATCACTTCTAAAGCCAGTACTTATCCACACCTAAATCCAGAAGCCACTCCTGAGTCACTCCTGAAATCAGAACCAGCGCTGACTCACTCTTGCAACCAGACCCAAGTGTGACCCACTTCTGCAGCAAGAACCAGCACTGACCCACTTCTACAGACAGAATCATATGAGCCACTCTTGTAGCCCGAACCAAGTCTGACCCACACCTGCAATCCGAGTGAGCTCTGTTCTATCCACTATTGCAACAGGTATCGGTTCTGTGCACCATTCATAGCGGTTATGACCCCGTCCTTCATTCAGAACAAACCCTAACCCATTTCTGCAAGCAGAAACGACTCTCACCCACTTTTGCAGCTGCTACCATTTAAGACCCACTTCTGCAGCCATTGACATCTCTGACCTGCTCCTGCAGCCAGAACCAGCTCTGATTCACGTCTGCAGCCAGAATCAGCTTGATTTTACTCCAGCAACAGGTATCTGATCCTTTGCCACGATCCACTTCTGCAACCAGGATCAACTCTGAAAGTCGAGAAGCCACCCCAGTTTCTGGCTAACAATCTGCAGGATTGTGATCCACTCTTTGAGCCAGTACCAGTTCTGTTCACCAGTCTAATCCACAGTGCCCACCTGTGATCTCCTGCATGCTTCTGGCATCTCTTTCGTAGACTCTGAGCCCTTCTTGCAAATAGTACCAGCTGTGCCCCTCTACCCTGCTGGGAGTGCCAGTCCCCTGCAGCTAATGCCCTCTCTGCGCCTCTCTTCTGTTATAGGAGTGCCAGTCTACGGCAGCCAGTGCCAGCTGTGCCCCTCTCCCCTAGTCTCCAGCGCTGCTCCCCTCTGGCATCCAGTGCCATCTGTGCCAACCTGATAGTAGCAGTCTCTACATTTTATTCTGAGCCAACTGAAAACAACAGTTTCTACAGGAAAAAGCCCTGGTTCCCCTCTCCAGCCTGCATCCCGCATGCTGCCAGTGGATTTCCACTCGTGTCCGGGACTGTGGATGACCATGACATAAAGTCCTGGAGTGACAGTCGCATTGGAGATGAGTTTCCATAAAGAGGACGGTGTCAGCTTGTGCCAGAAAGCGCTGCAGATCGTGTCGGAGCTCTGCCTGGGAGGGCAGGTGGAATGGGACAAGTGCACCGGAATCTTCCCCTCTACCAATCATGGAGCAGGCAGCACAGGTAGGTGACCCCACTGTGAGCCTGGCAGCCACCCTTGCCCTTCACTGTGCACCCAACACTGACCCTCACTGCTGAACCTGAAGGAGACCCCAGCCCTTCACAGTGCATTACTACTATCTCATAGTTGACCCTCCTAAATGCCACAATCTGGCTCTCAGTTTATTCCACCTGTTGTTCCCCTTAATTTTAATTCCCCACTTTATTAATCACAGTATCCTGTATCACAGCTCTTAGTTCACCCAATTGTATGGATTATCTGCCACTTACACACTAATTATCCACCTTTTAGGGTTCCATAAATTAACCCACACCACTGGATCCCCACTACCAGAATCCCCAGACACCACCAACACTTAGAGGGTTAGACTTCTAATGTTTCTACAAAGCCAAATGCAACACTTAAAACACTCTCTCCTCACAGATGGAAAGGTTAGGGCCATTCTGTCATTTTGTTTTTTCATGAATAGTTCCATATCAGAAAGAATCAAAGTGATTCCATCATTGCTGGGCACATGATGAATAAACACTGGAAAAAGTGCAGTTGCTGCCAATAGCAATCATTTGCATTTAATTTTTTTTTAAAAGAACCAAGAATTCTGATTGGTTGCTATAGGTATCAGCCATCTTTAGATCATGTTTTTTTCCAGTTTTTAAAAAATAATTCACTAAGAACTCCCAACCCATAATGAGCATGGTGGTAGAGGTGGCGGTAGTTTCCCAGCATGGTGTGAAATCCTCTGCAACTGATGCCCTTTTCTCCAGAGGGAAGGGAAGCTTGTTTTGCCTAGGAAGGTTATGTGAGTCAATTAGCAGACAGCCTTAGAGACTATATTCTATCTCAAGCTGCCTACCCCGAATTTCTTAACTAACCTCTCCACCTGACCAGTCTGATCCCATTACCCCCCTATACCACCTTCTTGATCTATCTCCATCCATCCCTGGGTCCCCTCTGCGAACTCCCAGTTTCTCCATCCTGGGTGTCTTTCTGGATGCTGTGTGGTCCCTGTCAGCCTCAGTCAACAGAGACTGGAGGAGACTGCGATCCGGATTAATAAAGCTGCAGACTGTGTGGGCGTCAAGACAGTTCAACTTTCTCCCCTTCCACATCCGAGGAATCTCCTGAAAGGAAATTATTTTACCTGATATGTCAGGGGCTGAGCGTGCTCTGCCTTGCTGATGGAGCACGTCGGGTTACCCCTAGAACCAAAATGAAATCACCCCAGCTATATACTACTGTGTACCTATGAATGTGCATCACCCACAAATTATGCTACTGCGTACCCCCATAATGCATGCACAGTCTCAATATATCGTTTTAAAGTTACAGTGATTGATTCACCAGCAATGAATGTTTGGTGAATGCCTCACTGCTTTATGCTGCCAATATCAGATTTTCCCAATAACGCAATGCTATGTACTCCAAAAATGCAATTCACCCCAATATGATTGTTTTGATTAAATATACCCATCACCCCAAAATTACATTGTTGTTTACTTCCTGAATATTCATATCACCCCATTTCTCAACTGCTGTGTACCTCCTAACTTGCAAACCATCCCAATATGTACTGTCAGAATATAGTCATCACCCTAATATTATATTGCCTACATGATTTAAATAGAATATAACTATCATCTAAAAAGTACATCGTTGTCTACTTCCTGAATATTCAGATCACCCCATTTCTCAGCTGCAGTGTACCTCCTAACTCCCAGACCACCACAATACTTGTACTGTTAGCATATATCCATCACCCTGATATTTTATTGCCTGCATGGTCAAAATAGAATATACCCATCGCCCCAATATTTTTACTGCCTGCATGGTCAAAATAGAATATACCCATCGCCCCAATATTTTTACTGCCTGCCCTGTCTGAATAGATTATACCCTTCACCCCATTATTGTGCTGCCTGTACAGTACAGTTGGAATTTCTTCCCTTTACCCCAATATTATACTGCCATCACCCTAGTATTCACTCCCTGTATATACCCATTACCCCAATACTCCAAGTATCCTCTCAGCTCAAAGACCATCCCAGTTTTTTAATATTCTTTCCTCACATTTCCGCAAATCTGTGGCCAAATCATAACACGTGTGCCATCATTTTGCCATTATCCCTTTTAATATGACTCTGCTTTGCATCCTAACCTCCACTTTCTGCCCCTGTAATATTATTGTGTGCTCCCAATGATATTACACTGACAGGGGCTCTGTCATAAGATGATTATCATGTTAAATGTGCTATCTGCTACAGTGAGGTGAAAGGATATGGGGTGTCGAAGTCCATCGAAGGTCACCCTGCAAGTCATTAGTTAATGAAAACCATCAATTTCAGAATTCCACATCTATGGAAAAATAATTGCTCAGCGTCTATTCCTTGCTTCCTTTGGGGCCAGTTTTATTATGCACAGCAATAGGCAGATGAAACTGAATGCCTTTTTCATAGGCAGCCAGCCATGTGTAAATGAAATGTTGGGGTTACTGGATTATAGCAAGCAGCACCGGCTGCATACCTCTCATATGTAATTATGTTGTGATTACAGCGTCTCTGTTTCAGGAGAACACTTGTTGCTTTGTAGACTGAGTGAGTCACCTCTTCTACAGTCGTTGCTGTGCATTGAACATGCCAGGACTGATCATAGATGACCTTCTTGATCACTCCAGCAGCACTATAGAGGTTTGCAGTCACTAAAAAGCTTGTTTTGTGAATGGAAGGCAGATAGAGAGTCAATGTAACAATAGAATGTAGACTGTTCCATCACTGGAGCAGAGGTTGTGTAGGAGTCTCTTAGTATCCATTCATACTCCAAGCTCTCTTCTCCTAGTACAGGTTGGAGAATGAAAAGCTTCCTGTTTTTTCTTTTATGTTTTGCATTTCACATATTTGTTATGGTAAGCAACTGAAAGACATTTCCTTTACTAAAGCACTGTGTATCAAAAATACACAGCATGTTTTTTTTAACAATATGCTGTTTTTAATTTTTTTTATCCTTTGGTGCATCTCTGTTCTGCTAAGCTCCTGCCATTCCTGCCATTTTGTTATATTTATCAGCTATTTTCTTGCTTTTTTTACTCTGTTATCTCAGCACTGTTGATCTCCTGTAGCCTCTTTGCAGCCAACGTGATGGCTGCATAGCATTTCTCTGGGTGGGTTTCCTAAAGGTGACAACAGCGGGCCATGCCTGTGTACTGCTTGTTAAAATGACCACTTGTAGTCTTTATTGGAAGGCCCATGTGACAAGGTGACAATGCAGGAGCACAATTGGGAGGCAGGGACAGAGGGTCGTCACCTTATGAAAGGAAGTGTCTGAACTATATAGCAAAATCATCGGGGATTTAGCAACAGCTGCAGATTTAAAGATAAATAATTAGATAATAGTTCAAAGAAAATAAATATATATATATTTATATATAAATAAATAGATTAAAATTAATTTTAAAATACTTTATTATGTTAAAATTGTATGAAATTTTAGTGTTCTGGGTTTGAAGAGAAACACCCAAAAGACGCGTTATTCCTATTTCACCTATTTCCTTAGGACCTGTTCACATCTGAGCGTAGCATTAATCACACGATTTCATGCCATTAATACACGCTATTGTACAACACACCTATCGTGCATTAGCGTACTAGGTGCGTTGCGTTGCCATTCATTTGATTGGCACCCATATAGCATGGTACAGCAGTTGGGTGGGCAGAGCTGATGACATTGCAAGATTATTGCTAGAGATGGATTTCCATCAGTTGATTCAAAGCCTTTGGCCCCATAGTAATAACCCCTCTTCTAGAACCACCTGCCCCACAAAGAACATGTTCTTGTTTTGCTGGTCCTAATATGTCTTAGATTTTTTCACAATGTGTAAATAGGCTAATGTGAGTTGACTGTTTATAGCTAAGAAAAAAATAATTGCCCAATAACTCAATAAGAAAAAGTTGCCCCTTCATCTGTGCCACCTATAGATATAGGTTTACAGTGCCTTATGGCAACAGTTGCTGGTTGGTTGTTGTTAGCGTTTCAGAGCATCGGAGGCTTTGGCCTGACTGCAGTACAACATAACTGGCATTTCATGTGGTTTCTGCCACCACAGGTACACTTTACAGAACAAATCAGCATGTACTGTATAAACTCATGCCATTTTGTACCTGTATTGTAATCTATCAATACCTGCTAAAATGATTACAAATTAGGTTTTGGCATCTCTGTAACAATAATTTGAAATTCATATTAAGCTGTGTTTGATTATAGTGGCTGCATGGAAAGGATTATGGTGAGAGGTGTTGTAAGTAGGATTGATTCATGGTAGTTAATCCTTGCTTGTGAAACACACTGGTTTACTTAAAGCTGAACTCCAGTATTAAATTCAGTCTTGTACAGTTGTACCGGCTCCTCTTCTGTTCTGAAATTGTTTACTGTGATTTCACTGCACACTGTGATTTTCTCACAAAGTGCATTAGAAGCTGCAACAAGTCAGATAGAGCCCGCCTCATTTCCTGGCTGGAGGACCTCTAACGCTTTCTCTCCCTAGCCTGATTGTCCCTGGCCCGCCGCTTTCATTTATTGGATTTCAGTCCTTTCAATTACTGAGGCTCAGCATCACATGTGAGCATTACCACTGCTTACTGTTTTCAGAAAGTAATGTATGTTTAGGGCTTGTTCACACCATATACAGTGCGTTCCAAAGCGGTCAGCTGCTGGAACGCACTGTATCGCATCCCTGCCAGCTTCCTACGTTCAGGGGTGGGAGGGGGCATAGCGGTGCAATGAAGTAAATGTCACCGCAACCATGCCCCCCACCCGCAGTGCGATCGCATGCACCAGAATGCGTGGCACATCAGTGCCTGCGTTCTGGTCCAGTGCGATCTGCAAAAATTGTGCTTGCAGCATTTTTTCAGATCGCACTGGACCGGAATGCAGGAACTGATGTGCCACACGTTCTGGTGTGGGCGATCACACTGTGGGCAAGGGGCATGGCTGCAGTGCCATTGACTTCAAT